ACACATTGCAAATCCCTTTCACATTTCATCTGAGTCAGGATGACAGTCAGAAATCCAATTGCTGAAAGTATAAGCAAAAATCATACCAGTAAAAACAAGCATCTCAGCTGGTGGAATGCCATCCCACATCTTTGCTATGAACTGAGCCTTTTGATAAAAATCCTTCTTGACATGAGACATATTGGATTTCTTCAGAGTGAGGTGCAATGAATGGTTAAGTTTGTTTTCACAAACACCCAACACTGGGAATTGTTTCAGTCTCTTCATAAAGCCTTCCCTGGATCTTGTCCAAAAAGAGTTCAGGCAATTGATCAGCCATTAGCTTGGTCAGGAACTCACATTCTTTGTCATCATGTAGAGTCTTCTGTCCTCAACCTTGATATCCTTCAGGACCTCTGATACCTTGCTGGGTCTCTTTGGTACAGATCCATCCATTGTTTCAAAGAACATTCCCTGATGTTCTTATGAAGATCATTGTAAACCTCATTGGTTGACTTGACCTCAAGGATTTTGATGACCACAAGAGCCTTGATTTGAGGCAATACTTGACAAACAGCACTGAATTTTAAGGCAGAGGTGTAGGTTATTGTTGATGTGGTTTCTGGATTGAATTGAGGGTGATGAAGCCAACTGGGACAGCAATGCCATAGATATTGAGCCGCCAAGATCTGCACAAAACTTCTTGGATTGTGGATTGGGTAGCATCACAATAAAAGCTCAGCCCTGGATCAAAAGCTCAAGCCCCAATTGCATTGATTGTGATCCTACTCACCAATGGGTCAGACCAGGAGCCAAAACGTTTGCTTGGATTGTACAAGCTTTCATGGAGATGCAGTATTGCATATCAAAAAGAAAAAAAGAAACTGGATTATATCTTTATATAGTTATATGGTTCTCAAACCTATGCAAAAATCCGTGCAAGTTTCAAGCAACTTCTGTGCAAGACATCAATAGAACTTGCTCGGATCTTGCATGTCGGTCTTGCACGGTTTTTGTACCAGTTGGAACAAAATAGCTGGAAATTACAGTACTCAAAGCAACTACGTACGCGTACATAGTTGCCTTACATAGTTTTTTTTGGCGGGCGAAATGCTTCGAATATACAGCCGTTGTAAGATCTATTGGCAGATTTTTAGATCATTGTGTTGTCGCCAGATTTAATGTAGAGGTCAAAAACTCCAAAAAACCCTTTTGAGACTGATAACTTTACTGCCCATTGGTCAGATCTAGCACAAGAACAATTGAGTTAGTCTGAGAGTGACATAATTTTTGAGTTTTTGACTTCAAAAGTTAAATCTGGCAACGACACAACTTTTCAAAAATCTGCCAGTAGATAATACAACGGCTGTACTTCTTTTGTTTTTTTCCCTGCCAAAAAAAAACTATGTATGGCAACTATGTACGCGTACATATGTAGCTTTGAGCACCGCAATTGAAAACTTGTTCAACTAAAATTAAAAAAACCAAACCTGCACTCTCAATCAACTACAAACCAACCTTACCAAAAAACAAAAAGCCACCCAAACCTAATCTAACCATCATTTATTTTTGTTAATAATACAAAAATCTTAATTAAAACTTATTATAACAATAACATATAAGTATGATGTACAGTCAATCCAGTTTTGCTTGTCCCATCGGATTTTATTTATTTTTTTTCACAGCAATACAGGTGATTCTATAAGCATGAACAAATGAGTTATATGCTTATGCTTATGTGGAGTTGCGTGTGTGACCAAGCACAGCAGAGCACAGCGCTCGGTTGTTTCAATTGAACCTGTCCCCATCCCCAACCCAGACCAACCTTTCATGATCACTTGCATCGTTCCAGCTTGATCTCATCTTTCATAGTCCGTCCTCTCAGCCATGGAACTTTACTGTAAGTATTGAACCCGTCTTCAGGCTCCGAATTTGATCTCTGTGCTTCGATTCACACCTCAGCTTTGAAGAGTAGCTCTGACTTTGATTTGAACCTCTTGACCATGATTTAAACCTTTTGGCTTCTATTCGAGCGACACAAGGTCTACAAATCTCTATTATTGGGTCCAGGGTAAGCTTTGAATACAACCTTGAAGACTTCGATGTTTACTGGTTGACTCGATCGTTCCAAATTAATTTGTCTTGATCAACTCTGAATCCGTCATGTCATGTTTGAATCCATTGTCTCAATGTCCATTTTGGTGGCTTGTATGTCATTTGTTCTTCTTGACTTTGTAATACAAGAATTTCTGAAATAAAGTCTATCACAGTAGTACTTTGATTGCTTTCCAAATGCATTGATCCCAGGTCACAAAGCAAGCAGATATAGGACTTGGAGCCATAGATGGTGTGATGTCAAAGAGTTCTGACACCAAGTCACAGAGGAATAGGGCAGTTCATCATGACCAGGAAATTAGAAGTAAAAAACCTGTGCGTGTCTAGATGTATCTGCAAATGTCAGACACTGAGCTCAACTTGTGTATCTGATGAGACACGGAGTACTCATAGTGAAAGGAAAGACTCCGGAGACTGTATCGATCTTAAGAATCGAGGATAATGATTAAGGTATGATGTTCATTTTATTGATGTGAGCATTTGGATGGTAGTTACAAGCTTTCTATCACAAATCAGAGACACTTCCATCCTTGAGTACAAGTACGACAAAATACAAAAGCACATCACTCAAAGAAAAAATACCATGAGATCCTTGAATGTCAATAGATGGGTGCAAAGCTCTGAGAAACCAGGGTAGTAGCCTTACTGATGATTAGCAATAGACAAGTTACAATTGTGAATCAACAGTATCAACACAAATCAACTTAAACAGGATTGATCTTTGTTGCTGGATTGGATCTTGTAAATTGATTGATTTCGGAAGTATTCTGAAATGTCTGAACCAACGAGTAGAGCTTGAGTTGACAGGCAGGATGGAGTTAAAAGAAGTGAAACATTGCAATTAGCGGGTGTTTAGTTGGTGAACAGGAGTTGAGTCAAAGAACACACACACCTTGAATTAGCGATAAGATAAGGAATCAAGTTGATAAACTTGAAAGTATCTGATGAACGGACCAGGATATTGAACCCGCTGGAAAGATAAGGAACATATTCAGCAATCAGAGGATTGACTCATTATGAGAAAGACATTCAAGGAGCTTACCTGAGTCAAAGCCAAGATGATACAGTCGAGACCAAAAGGGTAAAATCACGGAATGAAAGCTTGAAAGATATCGTCAATTTCCAAAGGATACGGTGAGGTAGAGAGAAGGGATTGAATGATTCAAGCGATGCATGGATGGGTTCGGAGGCGATGGATTGGTGCTGATGAGTCGGCAGCACCGATTGTGATTGGTGGACAGCCCCCTTCAATGGGATACACTTCAATCAAGATATCATGATTGAAGGCTATGTATGCTTATAAAATGGCCTGTATTGGCCTGTATTGACGAGAAAATAAAAAATAAAAAATTGGAATGGACAAGCAAAACTGGAATAGCGGTGTACAAACCTACAACCCAACATGAAAACCCATGAAAAAAACCCATGAAAACCCAACTTCTTCATGGGTTTTTTTCATGGGTTTTTTCACATGGGTCAAAATCGTCTAGATCTCACCACCCGTTTGGTGAAAAAAACAGTTGTGTTCGATATATGTAGACTCAACCAACCCCACCCCTTCTTGGTCAACGCAACACACCCAATAACACAAATCCTTACAAAATAAACATATGCTGCTTGTCTAAATACCTGATGTATGCTGATTTCAAAGTTTCCCTCTCTTCGGTTTGTTTCAACCTTTGCAATTTGAAGAATTCAAAAGCGATCGTTTTATTTCAAACGATCGCACAATGTATCGTTTTACTTCAAACAAAAACTGATCTGAATTGCCTTTCAGACCTTTGACATGAGACTTTTGAAATGAAGACATCGTTTTCAATAAAAAAACATATCGTTTCATCTCAAAAAGAAACTGTTGAAGTTGGCTTCTAAGACTTTGAGATGATACTTCTAAAGCGAAGATATTGTTTTCAGTCAAATGCAAACGAGATCGTTTTGTTTCAAAAAAGCACAAGATATCGTTTTATTTCAAACAAAAAGAGATGAAACTTTCAAAACTAAAATTTCCTTGAAGTAGTGTGAGATTCAAATCAAGAAAAACCTTTATCGATACAAAAAGCGCGGTGGTTGAGCTGGATGCAAAAAAGAGAGATGTGGAGTAAAGTTAAGGCCTCAAGTGATGACAAGAGCAGCGTGTGGCCTGTGACTCAACTTTCAAGACATGTTTTAGGAGTTGGGGCGTTCAAACCTTTCCAGGGCAACCCATGAAAAAAACCCGTCAGAAAAACCCATGAAGAAGTTGGGTTTTCATGGGTTTTTTTCATGGGTTTTCATGTTGGGTTGTAGGTTTGTACACCGCTAATGACTGTAAATATAAAAAAAAGTTTTTTTTTCTGTTTTGATTACATTTCACAAATAACTGATTAACAAAAAAACAATGGAAAAAAAACAAGTTTGATTTTTTTTTGGTTTCAAGAGGTTTTTGAAAAAAGTTGATTACAAATCTTAATCAATCATCAATCATCAAAAACAATCTTTTTGATCAAAATTACTCAAAGAAAAGAATCTTTCTCTTCTTCTTCTTCTTCTCTAACATGTGTAAACTAAAATAATATAATATAATAAAAAAAAATGATATATATATAACTTGTCTTCTAATACTTCTATAACATTGATAAGATAAAAAAAAAGCAGGGAATTCACTGGTTCACTAAGGATTAAAAAAAAACTAGTAATGGAAAAAAAGAAAAAAAAAACGATTAAACGAGAGTGTAAGAAAAATAATGTCTTTTTTTTTGGTGGCAGTAGTGGTAAGATAAGGCTGTTCTGTTAATCAAAAATAAACTAATGAAATGAAAAAAAACAACACAACGAAACATAAGAGATCTTGATCAAAAAAAAGTCTATCTCGAAACTCAAAACCATAAAAGTTCAAAAAAAAAGAAAGCATGAAAAAAAAACCAAGTTCAAGAAACTTTTTGAGCCAAAGGAGAACTAGTGATCGGTTGATTACGAATCGAATCATCAAACTTAAAAGGCGAAAAAGAATGAGGTACAAAGTTATACGAGTTTCGATCAACAATCACCACTTCATGAGCCGAAGCAGGTAATCTAGCTTCGATCGGATTCAAAGAAGAAGGTGTAGTAGGTAACGAATTCGAACTACGTTTACTGAAATTCTGACTGATCATCGAACCCGGTGTGAAACTTAAATCAGGTGAAGAGTTTTTCGAAACCAATGAAGAATGTTGACTCAGAGTAGGTGAACTAGATTTGTTTAGATTTACTACTCGGTAAGGGTGGTGGTGGTGGTGATAATAAACTTCGATTCTTTTGTCGTCTGCTTTGAACGGTTTGTAATGATTGTCGATGACTTCCTCCAGATCGATCGATTAAGATTTGAGGTGGTTTAGGTAGAGGTGAATACCAAACTCTAAAGAATTCAATCAATCTGACCGATGAGGCATCTAATCCTTCTTTAGATAATTTCCCTCGTAGTACATCATCAAAATTCGTCATGGTTTGATTTTGGTTTTGATTAGAATGGGATGAGTATTGATCTATTGATGATTTAGATGAATTTGGACTTTGATCAATCGTTAACTTTTGATAATATTCTCGTCTGTATTTGGTACCTGTTTCAAAAAGAAATCAACTTTAATTTTTCATTTGGTGTTATTTGACAAGATTTCAAACTCACGCGAGACGTTTTCAAGTAGATTGACTACTTCTTCCCATCCACCTCTAATCTTATCACCCACCATCATGCCTGTTTCCCATTTCCACTCAGTTTTCAACCTACAAGCCAAACTCACAAACCTAGCCACATCTTCTGCCAAACTATGAAACCATAATCAAATCATCAGAATCAAGTTGAGCAAAAGATCAGAGTAATAAACAAACTCACGTAAAACAAACAGGTTCCACCTTTTCCTTTCCTTTATCACGACCCGTGCCACTCGAAGAAGGTAATCGAGTTGATTTGTTCTCAAAATCAATCATCCATCGATCCTTGGGAGGTTCATCTAACCAATTCCCTAATCCATTTTCACCTGTTAATCCATCTCTGATAGCTTCATCAGCCGCCAATTCATTCATCAAGAAACCCCATCTGAATTCAGTCAAGGTGATGGGTGATCCTTCGGTATTGAGATGATGATATGGAGTATGAGACGGAATTGGAGTCAAAGGAGATAATCTAGGACCATGTGCACAAACTGCAAAGCGTCCTACATGACCTGAACTTTTACAAGCTTTCAAAACAATTGATTCCATAGCTTCAATACGAGATCTTTCAATCTCAGGTGGTAAAAGTTGATCTTGTTTTTCAGATTCTCGTCTGATGATTGATCTTGGCGTATCTTCCCTTGGAATCGGTTCAAAACAACAAATCACAGTATCTACTCTATAAGATTGCAAGACGTTTTTGATTTCAGCAATGGCCAATAAACGAGTACGATCGGCTCCTTGATCGACACTAGGTTGATCAGAGGTATTGATATGACTAGGTTCTGAACTAGTGGTTTGAAGCGTGTGACGTTTTCGAATGGGTTTGAATGATTTGAAACGATTGGAGGAAGTGGGCGAGATGGGAGGTGAAGTTGCAGTATGGTTTAATTGAACATTGCTTTGCGAGTCATTGGTTCTGTATTGAGTGGGTAATAAATCATGACTAAAGAGTGCTGAGATTGAAAAAGCATGAAAGAGTGAAGGACTGAGAGCCAAAGATTCGAGTGATTTACTGAATTTAGCATCGTGTTGATCGATGAGAGCTACTACGATATGTTTTGATCGGACGAGATCCTCTACAATCAAACGACCTATACCAAACCGAATGTTGCCTACAACTGCTACTACTCTACTAGGACCCCTAAGTGATGGACTGTTCGAAATGTGGGGTGAGGAGGTTTGAGGTGACGATGAAACTGAATAAGGGGTAGAAAGTGTAAGACTGGATTGATTCTAATGAAAAGGCAAGCCAAAAGAAGTCAGTAAAGGTAAATTCAAATATAGAGAAAGTAAGAAATCAACTCCACTTTAGAAAGTAATCTAGATCTAGGTCTGATAGAAAGAGAAGAGAAAAAGGAAAGAGGACGATTAGATTTAGACTTAGAGTTGACATTAGACTGAACAGAAGGAACCAAAGACTGAGTGGATAATAAAGAATTAGGTAGTTGTTGTTGATTTAGATTAGTAGTCGAAGGAGGTAAAGAAGAATAAATCATTTCGTTGGATTGAAGTTGAGGTTGATTTGAAGTTGAATTTGAATTTGAATTGAATTGATGATTTAATTTTAGATTAGGTTTGAGATCAGTTGAAGATGGTAAAGAAGTAGTGATCAAAGTACAGTTTGAAGCAGAAGCAGGAGAAGCAGAAGCAGAAGAGAATGGTGAATGGTTTGAGAAGTGAAGATGATGGTGATAAGAAAGAGAAGTAGAAGAGAAGAGAGTTGAAGAGTAATCAGTAGGAGTACTACTACTAGAATGAGATTGACTGTTGTTGGTTAGATTGAAA